TCACAGCGCACTGCTGTTGCCACGTGGCACTTCGCCTAATAAAGAACTCCAACGAAATAGGGAGGAGGAGGAGGAGAAAGGAGGTGGACGAGGAGGTGGAGGAGGAGGAGAGAAGAAGACGAAGGGAGGAGGAGGAGGAGGAGGAGAGAAGAAGACGAAAGGAGGAGGAGGAGGAGGACGAGGAGGACAAGGAAGAGAGAAGAAGATGAAAGGAGGAGGAGGAGGATGAGGAGGAGGAGGAGGAGGAGAAGAGGAAGAGGAGGAGAGAAGAGGAGGAGAGGAAGAAGAAGAAGACGAAAGGAGGTGGAGGCGGAGGAGAGGAAGAAAAAGAAGAAGAAGAGGAAGGAGACCTTGACGGGCGGCGACGATGGGGAGGGCTGCTCGACGGTGCAGGTCGACGGGGAGTGATGGCCCGCGGGCTTCAAGACGGCAGCAACGGCGACAACGACCGACGACGGGGCACCTCGATGACGACGACGGGGCACAGCTCAATGGCGACGATGGGGCAGCTCTACGAGGAGCGACGACTGGCGAGCTTGGAGACGGCAGCAACGGTGGGCTTCGGAAATGCAGCGATGCAGCGAAGCGGGGAATACTGCGTTCGAATTCGAACGCGGCGTCGTAGGCGACCAGGGGGGCGAATCAAGGCTACGGCGGCAGTAACGCGGGGGGAATTTCGCGTGGGGGGGCGGGGAGGCTGCCACTGGCCAAAAAACTCGAAAAAAGGCCTCACCCCCCCCCCGCGCAAAATTGCACTGGGCCCGCCCGGCGCCAAACCGGGGGACCCAACCGGCCGGGCCGCCCGGGACCCCTGCCGGACGAAGGCTGGGCCGCCGGGCGGCCCGGATTTTAACACAGCTGTGAACAACATTTTTGTTGGATTTGATGTTAGGCCTTCTTCTCCTCTTAGTTGACTGATGGTTGAATTTCTTCCTCGTGCCTTGATTTGCCGGAAGAAGTATTTTGTCATTTTCTCTCCCTTCTCCCATTCTCTTATCCTGGCTCTGAGTCTCATACCATTTGCTTTCCAGGCATTCCAGGTGGCTAATTCTGATTTAGCTCTAGTTAGTAGTTCTTCGTGATCTGCGGATCTAAGGTTATTACATAAATTGGTTTCAGCGATGCTGACTGCTGCCTCTAGTTCCTTTATTCTCTGATTTCCTTTTGCTGCTAGTTTCCCTGAGGCTGTGGATGCTGCTCTAGACAGGTTGGCTACTAGGGACAGGAAGTCAGCCTCCACTCTATCTGAGTCAATGCAGGCTTGTACTATAGCCACTTTCATTTCTTGGGTGTGAAGTATAGAGTTATTGATCTTGAAGAAGCTTGGTCCTTTTTGTAGCCCCGTGTATCCAAAAGTTGTTGTATTGCAATTCTACACAACATTTTTTTTCCCGGATTTATTTGGATTTTTTTTTTTTTTTTTTTTTTTTTGCGCTGGGGTTGCCCGGGACCCTGCCCAGGGGTCATGCCCAGCCGTGCACCCGGGCACAAGTTGGGTGCCCGAGCGCCCGGTAAAACAGCCTAGCTCGAAAGTCCTTTGCTGCTGAATTTGGTTGGTTCGTGGATGGAATAAAGTTTGAGTGATTAATGAAATCGCTGTTTGCTGTCTAGGCAACTCGAGAGGTCGCCTCACATGTACCGGTCACAACAAGTATGGAGTTTGAGTCTGCCGTCACCACTGCAAAAGAGAGCTTCTCAAGCTGGAAGGACACGCCGGTTACGGCCCGAGCTCGGGTCATGTTCAAGTTCCAGGAGCTAATCCAGAAAAACATGGTGAGTGATTTTCAAACTTCGTCACAAATACAGCGTTCTTGAAGCGGACATTGGGGTGTTAAATCTCCACTGTGGGACTTAGCACTCCTGATGGATTCAAATATTATAAGGGGATACCTTCTCTTTTTTTTTTTTTTCCCTAAAAAGATCTCTTCTGACTCCTCTCCTCATATGGGGGAGGGCTGTACGCACTACACTATTCCTCTTCTCTCGATGTTTTTGGGGCCTTACACTGGCTAGCTACTTTTCCTTTATTTCATTATCTACTCTCCTGTCTAGTCCCACGGCTCAACTCAACCTCTTTCAAACGAACAGAGATATTGAGAGAGCTAACACAGCTTTCTGCACAGACTGGTTGGGGGGATTCGGGGGGGTTGGTTCGCCAGAGTAGAGTGGAGTGGGAGCAGGAGGGGAAGGATGCAACAAGAGAGGGTGGAATCTAGGGACTATCGTTTGTTTTTCAATGACTTGGGGTTGGTTCGCCAAAGTAGAGTGGAGTGGGAGCAGGAGGGGAGGGATGCAACAAGAGAGGGTGGAATCTAGGGACTATTGTTTGTTTTTCAACGACTTGACAACGATAGAACCAACTTTCCCCCTACGCCCACCAACGTACTTTCTGGACCCGTTCCCCCCACACCCGCTTGCCCTTGAGGAGATACTAGACTGAGTGATGCTTCTGCGTAGTAAAGATTCAATGCCGGATTTCCTGAGCTCGAAATGTGTCTTGGTCCCTGGTTGGTGGGTGTCTGGAGTGCTGCGCTGCGGTCCCTTGTAAGTCAAGCCTGAGGATCATGCGGGTTGAAACCTGAGTATCCTGAGTGAGTCCTGAGTGAGTCCTGGCTTTTCCTGCCCTTGAAACCCAAATATCCTCTGCGGTTTTCTTTTTTGGATCCAAGGACCCAGTGTGAATGGCCCTCCATCGCGGCGCCCCTCCGGGAGACCGGGAGGCCGGGTCCATCTCGTCTATCAGCTACAAGAAGTGCAAAGAATGCCCATGGAAGGCCTCCTACACTATTTATTAGGCTGGCAGCTGTGCAGTTCCCCCCAGCTCCACTGGGTTAGTCAATGCTGGCAGCCAAGATAGTCTACCTCTTTCCGAAAAAAGGGTTTTGGGTAAAGAAACTTATCTTTAACTTATCAAGGGTTATGGGTCAAGCAACTTATTTTAACTTATCCCATGTAGTACAGACTTATATATACTTATCCAGCAACCTCCCTAGTCTACCCCAGCATACCTATCCCCTCAGGGTTGAACCTAACCCCTGTGGTAGGGGCCACAGTTACCCCTACCAAGACCTACTAGGAGGTGCGAGCTGACTATCTCAACCCGAAGTGCGCCGCAGGGGCCATGGGGAGCCGAATGGATGACGTGGGGAATCAGATCCACGACCTCCTGAATATCACTTACGTGCTCAACCAACTGAGCTAGGCTGCTGGCCCAAGGAGATACTTTCTTATTTCACAAGAAAACAAGAAAAAGAGGAAGCATGGGAATTGGGAACCTAGCTTAGTTGGTACACCCACGAGCTGTTAAAATACAGACCCAAGTTCGAATCCAGATACAATCAGATGACCAGAATAAAATCATTCGGAATTACATAGGGGGTTCGATGATATCCCAAGCCCGTTTCCCTTTCAAAAAAGGAGGAGGAAAAAGGGGAACCTCTGTCCATTTCTGTTCTGTCGTGATCTCTACTCCTTTATGTCCTTTTTATCAGTCCCTGTTCCTTTTTGCAAGACTCCGGCCCTTGCACTTGTCTGAGACTTTTCCCATGCACCGAACGGTTAAAACTAAGCTAGATTCTTCTCTCAATATATCTCTCACTCGCTGGTGGCAAGCTACACTAAGGGTTATGGGTTGAGACTATCCCCTCAGGGTTGAGCCTATCCCCGCAGGGTTGAACCTAACCCCTGGCAACAGGTGGCATTCCCCACCAAACAACCAGGGGGGACAAGCTGACTATCTCAGCTGGTGAACGCGCAGCGCGCCTCAGGAGGTGTGGGGGCTCGATTGCAGACTGAGGAATCAAATTCACAACCTGCTGACACCTGAATTCCGCTTTTGTGCTTTACGAACTGAGCTAGGCCGCTTAGCCGCCAGTAATTGATCTTCCTCTTCTCCTTCTCTCGTTTTTTTTTGGGCATTCAAAGTTTCAGGTGGGCATTCTTGACAAGTAACAGCACAGTGAAGCGAAGTTGGGAGGTAAGTGCACAAGCTGACATCTGCCTTGATGATGGACATTCATCTCCCACTGTTTTCTTTCTTTCTATTTTAAGCAAAAACAGGTCGTTATGGATCTGGTTCGATATCCATTCTGGGCAGCATTAGTCCGGTTCCTATGCCACACTGCTGAGGCCTTCCCACATTACGGCCCGGGAACCCCTGACAGCATTTGATTACCTCTTTCCGGGAAATTGGCTGTCATCCAAGCCCATACCCCAAAGTCAACCCCCTTCCACGAACCATACCATTTGGTCCATTTCTCCCTTTTTTTTTTTTTTTTTTTTTTTTTTTAAATCTCCAATCTAGTCGTGGGCCGCAGCACATGAGAACCGAACAACACGCACTGAAAAGTCAGTCCTGATCATCCCTCTCAGCTGTTCGCCCCACCTGCCACAATTCCTAGTGCGAACTAGAATTTACAAGAACGGATCGCTGCTACAGAACAGCCGATGCTTCCCTCGTGATCCAATGTTGGGCCCGTACTGCACCTAATTGGAGGCTAACGTACTGCTCTGCATACTGCGCATTCAATCGCTGTTTTTTACGTCCCCTCTGCCCTTCCCGGACGCGGTTCCCCTTCCGTCCAGCTGAACTTCACCAGTCCTGAGCATATAGTGCCAATTCTTCCAGCTCCCAGTACTGTTGAAATTTGAGTGATATTGGGCGGCAGTTCCTGCACTTTGTCTTGGCTGTCCAGGATCTCTCTCTTTGTTTCGATCCTGTTCGTAATGTATTCAGTCTCCAACATGTGTATGAACTCCCCCCGTACCTGAGCTGTAGCTATTCCTGTTCAGGCGATTGTTCCCTGGCATCTTCTTTTCCCTATTACCCAGATGCTGCGCAATCTCATTCTTTGGATCAAGGTGCACTCCCAATGTGCCCTATGTCCTGAAGATATGATGCCTGTTAGAAAACTGAAAGCATCACATCCGCTAAAATTGGAACGATACAGAAATGATTAGCATGGCTGCTGCGCAAGGATGACACACATAAATCGAGAAATGCTCCAAAATTTTTAGCTCTCGCCAAAAGAATATCTTGGCCCTCGCAACGACGAAGAGCGCTGCGAAATGCGATACTCAATGTGAATTGCGGAAAAAAAAGAAAAAAGAAAAAAGAAAGGATCGCTTCAATTCGCTTGGTAATTGCTTTCCGCTGTTTCTGGTTACTTGCCCCCATAACCTTGGACATTTCTCCCAGGTTTGCTTGGCCTTGGGGCAAGTTAGAAAGCAGTGCCCTGCATCTTCCGCCACCCCTTCCTCACGTACTACTTATAGTGCATTTAGCCTTCTTCTCTTTTTTTTTTTTTTTATAACAAAAGCTCCAATCTATTCGTGGGGAGCAGCTCGTGCTGGAAACCGGGTCCAGCGTCCCATAAGGACATTTACAACTTCAACAAGGATCTTTTTTTGAGAAAAGTTGAGAAGACCTCCCCCTGCCAGGGGATTAACTGAGCAGGGAATGCCCTTTGATGGTAAATGAAAATGAAAAGAACTATGCAAAAGCCAAGGAGTTAACTCCAGGCTAACCAAGATAGATCAAATTTGAAAAAACATGCAACCCCTGAAACAGACAACCAGAACAGTCCTGCCTCCGTCATCGAAAGGAAGAACCTCAAGCTGATCCAGGTGGAGTTAGTGGCCAGTGGCCGGCACCCGCCGAGATACTCGGTGCCAATCGCATCCACCCCTACGTCCTCCATCCAAATCCCATCCGCCCTCCCAAACTCCGTCCTCGTGAAGAAATCCAGAGGACCTCATCTCAGCAGGGGGCGAGCACCGTCATCACCCTGAAATTCCTTGCCCCCACAAGAATTCCAGTCTCCGTACCCATCAGACAGCCTAAACTACCCAACGCCAATCACATCTGATAAGAGCTCCCCCTAGCCGGTACCCGTCAAGCAGCCTTGTTCCATCCCCCTCTCCGTCCTTGCGAAGAATCATTTCATGCCCCTTGCCCCCTACTTCAAAACAAATCCCCCAAAACTCTACAAGATGCTCCACTTGGCCATCCCATGAGGCCCCTGTTCATAACTCTGACCAACCCCCTTGGAAAAAATAAAAAAATTCCTAAAGGAGTAGGGGAGAAAAACTTCGAAGCTACCCTCCCGCTCTCTCCACAACACAGAGGGGAAAGGAGAAGACAGCACCTCTCCGCTGTGAAGAGAATTAGCATTGCCCTCATTCTTACCGAAACTCCTCCCTCCTGTCCTTGAGCTGCCCCCGTCGAGAGGAGCCCCCTTCCTGTCTCCTTTCACTTGTTCAACCAGAGGTTAAGAGGCTCTGCCAAATAGGTTACTACTAATAAGTAATTAGCCATTTAACTTGATTGAAGGCTTCTGAGTCCTGACCTTACCATTCCTGAAGCCCGGGATGGAACCCCATCGGGCTTTGTGTCCCTTGCAGGCTGATATTCGTCTGCTCAAGCCATCCTTGCCTCAGGACCACATCTACAGAAACTGATCTACGTGTGAGTTTATAATCTAATCTGGTTGCATATTGCAGCCAATTTGTTCTTAAAGACTAGGAATATTGTCACGCCCGGCTGGGAACCTGGGCAATTTTTTTTCTTTCTTCTCTTTTGTGGTTTTCTGCGCTCTCCCAGAGGACCCCAAATCCGGGCTCATTTCTGTTTTTGAGAGTTGGCTGTCAGGGGGGGGAAGGGGGGTATAAATTGGTTTTGAAGGGGCTGAAGGGGTTTAAAGGGGGGTGCCGTAGTCTGATTCTGTTAACTTCTTTTTTATCTCCGACTCTGTGAGGAATTCTGATGTGACCCTCTGCCAAAAGCCGTTTGTATTGCAATTCTACACAACATATTCCCCCCCCTTCCCCCTTTTTTTTTTTTTTTTTTTTGGTGGGGCTGGCTGGAACCCTGCCCCGGCCGGGACCCCGGGCGCCCGGAAAAACAACCTAGCTTAAAGACACATTCCCTGCTGCTCCTTGCATGTTCCAAGCCTATTCTATTGTGTCCACCACCTCCAGGTCTTGAATTGGTGTTAGGGAACAATAAATTGTGTACTACTTGTTAGTCTTGTTGTCTATGACCATGATTTTTTACGAACCAGACTTTGTTTAACCGAGACCTGGGCCTGGCTGCATGTCCACTTTGCTTGTTGTTGCACCTGGGTCGTCTACGCCGTCCATGTCTATTACGAACCAGCTGTTATTCGGCCCCTCCCTTGCCCTAATCCAACCACTGGTCAGGGCTCCTGCGTCCATGTAGCCCAGTCACCCTCCTTCCCACTCCGTCCCCCTTTTAGCGGCAGTCTTCCAGGACTCGGACCATCTCATTGAGATTTTCTTGAAGACTTAGAACTTCCCTGAGTTCGCTGCGGGTCCTCCACCTCCTCTGACCTTTGTTCCACAAGTGTTTTATTTGCCACACTCCGTGCTTCAACTAGGTTCCCCATCTGGTGTCACTTCTTGTTAGAGTCCAGGGCTTTCCCTGCAGGCCCATTACCCATTAGCCATTGATGATCAATTGCAAAATCATCTCTCTCTTAACACTTCGTCTTTTGAGGAAGGTTTCCTTACCTTGGCTGGGTGGGAAAATTCCCTTCGGAACGATACAGAGAAGATTATATTCAACAGTCAATTTGCACAAGGAGAACAATATAGAAACAAAGGTGGCACGCATTCTTCAGTGACACCTCGGCGAAGTCTTCTCCTGCTGAGCAGGGGTTCCCCATCCACCACCTCCAGGCATCCTTATGCAAATCCGATCTCCTTTAGCGATGAGCACGGAGTTCTTGCCTCCCAAGTAAACACGTTTGCCATTGTTTCGCACCAAGATGTTCTCACCACGTGCACATGGAGAAGAACTTTAGGAGAATGATGATGAAGGCACTAGTACAGAGCTTGAGATCTTCCTTTCAAAACACTTGTCATGCATGTAGCCCCATCAGACAACTTCAAAAAAAACTTTAGACCTTAAAGGCTTAAACCCTAAACCCTAAGCCCAAGATATCAGACCGAAGACCCTATGGCATTTATTTTACGGCCTGCAGTTCCATCAGTCCTAAACCCTAATCAGGAAACCTTGGCTCAACTTTTGTACACTTCTCCCGGAACCAGTTCCAAAACCCTAATCAAAATCCCTAGCCCCTTATAACTCAGTAAATCCAAACTGTGTTTTTTCTTAACCATAGTTGATAATCAATGATTGACTACAGTCTTCCCCCGAATACAACGTACGGTCATTATAGCTGTATTTGGGTTGTCTTTCAGACTAAATACAGCTATAATGACCATACGACGTACGTTGTATTCGGGGGAAGAAGGTAGGGTTAACCCGGTTAAGGAATCGAAGTTCTGAAACCAGTTCCTAAACCCTGACCAGCAGTGATTCCTTAACCATAGTGGACATTTTTGGCAATCATAAAATGCTGTATTTCGGACTATTTCCTAAGCGCCCATCCTTAGACTCCGAGTGGTAAATGCTGACTACTAAATGTCAGCTTCTCTTCACTTTCTGAAATGTGTGTTTTGCACGTCGGGAGAGGAGCAAGGGATGCATGTGTGTGTGTGTGTGTGTGTGTGTTTTGTGCGTTGGAAGAGGAGCAAGGGATGCAGTGTACGATGATGTATCACTTGCATCTGCAGACAAAAAAAAAAAAAAAGGTGGCACGAGCAGGACTCACTATCCCTAGGGGTCTCCTCCTACTCTGTACTGCTATTGACCCCACCCCTGATTCCCTGCATGGCCCAAGATGTAGACATAATTCACAACAGGCCCCATTCATGGTTCCCAAAGTGGCAAGTTTGGCTAGCTCAGCCTAGCTGTCGGGATTGCCAAGATGCCCTAGCCTGCCTTCCTCTTGCCCAGAATCAGGATCCTATGGCTAGTGCATGCAGATCTGCTGTGTGGTAGATGACAACTCAGTTGCCCATGCAGCTGGTAGGCCACCAGGTTGTTCTCCTTGCCAGCAATCTGACCTGCAGACTGTCATGTGCAGCATGTCGATCTTCAGTGGCAAAATTTCCTTAATCAGTCCGCAGCAAAGTTTACTTCCCTGATCAAGACTCTTCTCCTCCGCCAGCAGCTCGTGTTCATGTTCTGGTGGACTACCTTGTCATCTCTCATCATTCCAATTCAGCGGAGTTCCCGAGGTTCGGTAAACCACACAGACCCTTTGCAGCTTTTGAGACTCTGCCGTTCCTTCCTTGCAGCACTCCATTCTTCTTCCACATTTATATGCAGCTCTGTACCCGTTCTTAAACTTGGTCCCCTTTTTGATCAGCCAAGGTCTTAAAACCCCAGCAGAAGCCTAGAATGGAAAGGAAATTGAAAATATGAGGTGCACAGATGATAGTGGCCTCAGTACTTCCTAACTCATGCGCCCATGCGTGTGCATGTGTGCATATGACGTCTTGTTCACTGGTTTGCATGGGGTTTGATTTGTGTGCACCTTCTTTCCAGCTGTGATCAAGCTTTTCAACAGTCTATCAGCGTAGTGAAGTTATTGCTTGCATGCTCCAGAAGAGTTGTATCACTGGCCATGACCTCAGTGATGCAGAGTAAACTTTGTTGACCTTTGTTTTTGATGTTTTCCTGGTGGCTGTGATATATGCATGTGCATCATCTCAGGACAAGTTGGCAGAGAACGTGACCCTTGAGCAAGGCAAGACCTTGCCAGATGCAAGAGGGGAAGTGTTTCGTGGTTTAGGTGAGGTGAAAGTCCTCAACTCATCTATCTGCAGGGGGGGAGGGGCATATTGTTGAAGAGTACGACTGGTTGAATTCTGGGGTGCATTAAATGTACACTGCTTGCTGAAGTTCACCAGGCATGTCATGGGTTAACTGCAAAGTCACCCTTGGTTCAAACTCAGTGGTGGGATACACAGCAAGAAGTTTCATGGCAATAACTTGACATCAAGACCAGGAACACTTGCTAATGCATCCCTAACTGCTCAGAAATCCACTCAACTTAACAAATTCATCAGTCATCTTAACAACAGGGTAGTTTTGGCGCCTACCACCGACACCAACCATAGGCGGTAGGCGCGCCTACCAGTCGGTCCGACCCGTAGGCGGGCCAGTCGGCAGACCCGCTCCTACCAGTCGGTTCGACCCGTAGGCCGACCCCTCGGCGGACCCGTAGGCGGACCCGTCGGGGGTCATAGGGGGCTTACAAGGGGGTTGTAGGGTGTTAAGGGGGGGGGTATGAGGAGGTTAGGGGACGGTATGGGGGTGTTGGGGGGGGTGTATGGGGGCGATGGGGGTGTTGATGGGGTTATTTGGGGTTCTGGACCAAAACAAAATATATATTTTTCCTTTTTTTTTGCGGGGTGCTGACCAACCCCCAATCGGTATGTGCCAACCAGTCCGACGGTCGGCTGGTCGGCCCCCGACCAATCCAGGGGCGCCGACCATCAGTGTGACTACTCTGTTTAACAACTTCAAAAAAAAAGAAAAAAAAAAAAGAAGGAAAAAACAGAACCTTATGGTTCTGGCTCCTTTTCCATTCTGGGGAGCGTCAGTCCGGTTCCTATTCCACCGGCAAGCCAGAAGGGAATACAATAAACACTCACTCACACTCCTCCACCTTATGGTGTGAAGGCCTGAAGGACGGCGTTGATTACTTCCCATAGGAAGGATGTACCACCCTTCACCCCTGTCTAAGTTAGCCTGCTCTACCTTGCTTCTGCCGATGATTACGAGCCTGATTACCCTTTTCACTTTGGTGCTTGTAGCTTGCCTCCTTGGGCCCGTAGCTTGCCTCCTTGGGCCCCAACCGATCTGTTCCTCTCAGCTCTTTGACTGTCGGATTCTCTTTACGTGCTAGAACAGCTGGTGTGGTCCCTTGTTAAGGTGTCCGATCAGCTTAACAACTTCATCAGATTCCCTTGTCCTTTCTTCTCGAGATCTCTTGTGAAGGTCTCATGGAAGACAGTTTTCAGCACAGCTTTCAACTCTGAATCCTGACTTTCTCCCCATTGCATTCTATTTTAGTCGATGATTTCCACCAAGAATTTGATACAACACGCAAAACCTTACCAGCCCTCTTGAGCATCATCTTGCACCCCATGGGAATTTTTTTTTTGCAAGAAAAGAAAACATGCCCTCATGGCCCTGGTTACTTGTTATTTCTGGGAGCATCAGCCCAGTTCCTTTTTTTTTTTT